ACTTCATTATAGTTTTTTAAGACAAAGCTAACTGAAAGGGGCGCTGAGCAGAGTTACAACCAGGGATTACAAATAATTTTTTTTTCTTCTGCAGTTCGGCGCCCCTTCCAGCAGATGGCGCTCTAGGCGACCACCTAGTTCGCCTACGCCAAGAGCCGGCTCTGTCAGCCTGAATGTCCTGGTTTATTTATTTCTATAAAACCAACTGCTGCAAATGTCAAAAAAACAAACAAAAAAAAAACTCTAGAATTTGGGCTCCTGGCTGGAGACTCACCACCATCAGGTTCTTGGAAACCCAGCAATCAATGGGGAAGTCCTGCAGCATGGGGACCAGAAACTGGAGGCAACCATCCCAGTGGCACAGCAGGAGCATCATGCCGATCAGGTTTACGATCCGAACCATGGCGCTGGCCAGGTCGTAGGTCATATGGAAGATCTAAGAGAGAGGAAAGTGGAAGACGTTAGGATTTAAACCAGTTTGTTTTGGACATTTTGGACTGTCTGAATCACTATGCATCAAAACATTTGTCAAAAAAAAAAAAACTATCCTGTGATGCCTTAATGTGACATGTATTCCCATGAAATACAAAAAGTCAAAGAAAATATATTTATATTAAGAAACTCGGCATAATACACATGATTTGACCCGTTATGTCACAATTGTCAGATTTTCTTTTGAATTTTGCTCAGCTAAAGTGAAACAGGAAGTGACATCAAAGGGGAACTCTTTGAGAAAGAAAACTGTTTTTTTGTTCATTGAAACAACAATATTTGAACTCTGACTCTCATCTTTCTATGATAGTGATTAAAATAATCTAAAGAAAGATCAGATTATTCTCTAGTCTGTAGATTAACGCTCTGTTTACATTCAGACATTCCCCTTTGACATCACTTCCTGTTTCTTCACATGGTAATATCTCAACAACTGTTCATCTTGGTGGCATAAAATCTTTTTTTACAATATGTTAGCAATGTTATCTTTCCAAAAATACATTTATATTTATTATAAAAAATCGATGTCGCAGGCACTTTAAACCTGTTTCAGTGGTTCTGTGGAAAGGTTATGAACAAATATTATCTTACCTGTTGCAGATAATTCTTAGAACAGACTCACTCACTTGCCTGTGTGGGAAACATTTACTGCACATTGGTTCCTCTTAGAAAAAGGCTGTATGTGTGTGTTTTAGTGTGAGGAAAACAAAGTGTAGCAGGCACACTTCATGGAATGTGTCAATGCGTGAGACTTTAGACACCTGAGTTTGCATCTGACGGTACTGATGAGCTAACGGCTAGTTTGAGCATTGCCAAGATCTAGAAAGATTGTTGCCATCTTAAAACCAGAGCTGTCACAATACAATAGGCAGGATAGGCAGTTGCCTAGGGCCCCGAGCTGAAGGGGGGCTCCGAAAAACGTTACTGAAGTGGCCAAATGCAACAACCATATAAAACACTGAGTGCATTGAAGTGAAAAAAAAAAACATTACTATCACCCATCAAATTCATTGGGCCACATGCAATAACATGTTCGTATGTCACGTCAGATTCAACAAACTCTTCTATCTTCAGGAAAAKTGTGTAAATGAGCTGCGTAAATTCCACCTGTTCGTATCCAGCTGCTCGTGCACGCGAGAGGAGATTAGCRTAATTACCACCCCAAAAACACCATATAAGGCTATGTTTCCTGCCTCAGATATCAGGAAGTGTCCATTCATGAAAATGACAGCAAAAACTTTACGAGTTCAGAGATTGAAGTCCGTCTGTCAGAGATCCAGAAAAGAAAATCTGTCATTTTTAGCAGGTCAGCTGTGGAATAAAAAGAGCTGCTAAAAGTATAAACAACTGTGTTAAATCATTTTCATTTATTCAGAAGACACAGCGCTGTGCACCGTACCCCCCCGCCCCCACCACCAACCAACACCACCACCCCCGCGCCGCGCTGTCGCAGGTGGTCTCAGAAAAAAGCATTTTAAAATGTTTTTCAAAATATGTCTGGTACTTTGGAGAAAATCCAGGACTTGCTGGAGGGATTATGTATCCCCTCTGGCCAGGGAACATCTCGGAGTCCCCAAGGACATGGAGGGGTTCGCTGGGGAGAGCGGGGTCTCTCTGCTGCTGCCCCCGCGACCCGATCCCGGATAAGTGGCAGAAAAAAGATGGACGGACAATTTATATTGTTAGTCTAAATTATTACATTTAAAATTGTAACTCTAATTCAAGCAGAATAGCCTACTGTCAAGATAATCATGGAGTGTAATTTATTTTCAGCTCAAAATATCATCAAACTAATGAAATATAAAGTTATTAGGGAGGAAAACCCGTCTGGATAACAGCAGACTGACTGCTGGTAAAATATACGACAGGTCTGGACCACTCGTGAATTTTGTTCGTATCTGAAAAAAATCTTAGAATAAGAAAACGTTGGTGAATGTCACAAATTCTCCTAAATCACTCGTACACACAACTTAAGAACAAATCTGTGCGTACGAACGGTTCTTGCATGAGGCCCATTATTCCATCAGTTGAAGTTATTGAAATTCTATGATTTGATTGATTTTAGTATTTTATCAGTTTTGTATAGGGCTCATAAAAATACTTTACCTTCAAACATCCGATTACATTTTGTTAAAAGAGAGACTTGTTATAATCTCAAAGGGATAGAGATGATGATTAAACCCAAATTTGGAACATGTTTGAAGGAACAGAGTACTTCAGTCCAGGGTATAAGATTATGGAATAATCTGGAGGATGATGTTAAAAATGTCAGATCAATGTGTAAATTTAAGAGATGATAAAGGTTAATTTGTTGGAGAAATATGTAAATGTAAAATGTATGAATTGTTGCTCAAGGAGTTAAACCTTTATTAATTTTCTTTTTTTGTTTTTCTTTTTTCTTTTGTAATCTGAAAATCATTTTTGATTGAATTTATTTATTTGAGAAAAAATATATAGGATTTTTTCTTCTTCTGCTACGTTGGCAATGCACACTATTGTATTCCTCTTCTTCTTCTTCTTCTTCTTCTTCTTCTTCTTCTTCTTCTTCTTCTTCTTCACCCACCTCCTGCAAACTTTGTCCTACAGCTGCCATTGTAATTTGTATCTGTTAAAGTCCTATGCCTAATGATTGCTATGACTTTTGGTACCTGTACAACTTGTAGTTTTTGGAATTTTAATGTTTAAACTTTTTTCCAAAAATCATATAATGGGAGTCAATGGGGCCTTGAACTGGTCCAATACTGCCCCATGCTGTACTGAACTTGGTACTGCACCATAGTTTCATAATATTTAATCTCAATACTTCAGTGTTTACAATACTAATATGAATGTATTTTGATTTTTACTATAATATTGTCCTCATTTTGCCTTATTGTTTTAAAATATTTCAAATTAGTGACAATGACTACATTGGCAATGTGGCCTCTTTCTGCACACATACAATCCAACCCCTGGAACTGTCATCTGCCACAGCTCTATAGTCTCATGGTGAATACTGTGGGCTTTTATGCAGGAGATCAGGGTTCAATGTTGTGGTGGTTGACCATATTTCTATAATAAATTATGAATTTAAAAGCTGCCACAAATATTAAAGTATTTAATTGCAAATTTGACCTAACCATTGAAAACATGGATGAAAGAAGAAATATGAAACATACATATGTACATTTTATTTGTAAAACATATGTTTATGTTGTATAGTCCTGATATACATTTTTTAAATAAATCTTTTCTTGAACAGTTATTTTCTGAAACTTAGAAAAGTTTCAAAATCACAACAACATGGATGCATGTACACATTTCTTTAAAAATAGTGACATAATAATAATAATATATTGCTGTTCATTTAATAATTATTTTGTGTGACTCTGGTTCCTTAGCTGAAAGTGGGATGCATTTGTAAAAAGAAATTTGTAGAGGTTCATGTCATTTTAAAGACCTGTACAGTACCTTTAGTGTTGCATTATAAAGTTATTTACTTAGAATTCTGTAGATATTAATAAGCAACTATATTTCAGATTTTATGGTGATCTAAGGTTTATAAAATAATATTTGCATGAACTACTGTAAATGTTTTTAATAGGTTTAAGACGGCAGCAATCCACTTTGGTCTTGACCCAGCTGGGGTTAGTTATTAGCTTGTCAGTTGTTTAAAGAGCCATCTAGAGCAGATAAGGTGTTATTGCTCATAACCTGGCTTCAAAGGAGCTGAACTACGCCTCTCCTCCACCTCTCACCTCCTCCCACTGGTGGATGTAGCGGATGAGTCGGGACAGGCGGAGCAGCCGGAGCAGGCTCAGGATTTTGGTAAAACGGACGATCCGCAGAGCTCGGGCCGTCCTGTAGACCTCCGAGTCCAGACTGTCCACCATCAGGAAGATGTAGTCCACAGGGATGGATGAGACAAAGTCCACAAGGAACCAGCTCCTCAGGTAGTTCTGGCGGATCGCCCTGGTTTAGAGGAAGATAAAAAGACTCGTCTCATTTGGCAGTCTGCCTGTGTCTGTCTGGCAGGAAGCATCAATATTCATCAGGAGCAAACTGGATCCTGAATAATGCTGTGTCACATCACCTTTCCACATCGGGTTTGTTTGAACAGAAAACAAACAGATGGCATGAAAGAAATTGAATTCACGGCTTGAGATTTACTGTGCCGATACGCGAAATTAAAAAAATGAGTCCAGTTTTCATGACACGTATGGCTCAACACACACACAGACCTGGGGTCGAGCAGGATCTCTGTGCTGTCTTCCTTCACGATCCCGGTTCTAAAGTTCAGAACCAGGTCCACCATGAAGAGTGTGTCGGAGACCACATTGAAGATGATCCACGATGGCGTGTTCTCATCCCGAAAGAACGTGATCCCGACCGGCAGGACGATTAAGTTGCCCATCATCAGCAGCAACATCAACAGGTCCCAGTAGAACCTGGAAACACAAACACACAATCTCAAATAAACTTAAATAAAACATTGAGATAATTACATTTTTATTTAATGTGACAGTTTTTTTTTTTTACTACTCGATGAGGATATGTGGTATAAAACATGCTCAGTCAATATCACAGTTATTTGGGGGTATATTCTCCTGGAAATTTTTGTAAAAGATCTACTCAAATCTCAGCAGATTCCAACCATTTGAAGAGCATTTTGCTAAATTCTTGGGATTAAAAAAGTCTTTTATGAAGGTAGAGCACTCAAAACCAAACTTTAACCAGAACTTTGTCTGAGATCATAACTGAAACCAGTGTTGTATAAAGTACCACAAAGTGATACTTGAGTAAAAGTACAAGTAAAAGTTAAAGTCTCCTTTAGGAATAAATTCTAAAGGGATCCCCGATTAGTTGTAACATTAGACCTTATTTGATAAACATATATTTTAACAGTAAAATAAAGACTGTAAAAATATATTTTAACACGGACGGAGCCATTTTATTTACACACAAAGCATTCTGGGTAAATGATGACGTGGACAGGTCCTCGGTGCGAGGCTGCTAGCGAGCTATATCCACCCTGAAGG